CTGCCCAAGGCCCATCAAAGCAATGCCCTCAACAAACTGCCCTGCCTCCATTTGGGACAGCACTCTTTTCTGCCTGCATGAATATGTTGGGCGGCACAACTTTTCAATGTCAGTGGAGTAAGTACTGGCAGCAAAGGCGTCGTAGTTTCCCCAAATCAAGGAAATGTTCTGATCCTGCGAGGGCTTATCCAGAAAGTTTTTGCTGTCCTCTGCCCTCGCAGGCATGTCTTCCAATTGTTTTTCTTACAAAATCAATATGTGTTTTTTTGCTGCACGCTCTCGGCCCTGAACACCTTGTGTATGACATCTGGCGATGGCAGGAAGGTTGGTGGACTGGATGGCTTTGCCAAAAAAAAGCGCGACCTCCTCCAAACAGCGCACATTGAAGTCCAAATGCGCAAACGTTGCCAGACTTTCGACCTCCATTTCTCTACCAAACTCTCACATCTTTGGCAACTAGTCGGCTTCGAACACTTTCCGGTCTAATCACAGACTAAACCCAACAAGGGAACTGAATGGAAGACCCTGGTGGCAAAAACAGGAGACCTTTGATGCAGCATTTCAATGGACCGAATGCAACGCCCAGTCGAAGTGGCGGAAACGGAGCTAGACTTGGGACATGGGCATCGTCTCCTCGGAGACCTCAGCCTCTCACGAGAATCGTTTCAAGCAATACGAAATGAAAACCTGTAGCCACTTCAGATATCCAAAAATCTCAAGAAATCTTTTCTATAACCACCAACTGCACAGTAAACAACCACACAAACTCAAAGCAATTGCATGGTGGTCGAACAACAAAGGCCGCTGTATTACTAGCCGGCTAGAGTGATGCAGCAAATGGGCAGCAAAGATTGAATTCACTGCGCGGAGTCATGAGACTAAAGACAAAAACCTCCATGCAAAATAGTAACTTTTGGCCTTGCGTGCCTTGGGATGCAAATCAAGCTGCCACGGCTCCGGAGCTGTCAAACAACCTGCGATTTTGAGATACCATCTTTCTTTCATTCATGGGTCGAGTACTTCCAACTTTCTACGAAGGAAAGGCTGGTTTGAGTCACATTGAGCGCAAACTGATTTAACCCTCCACAACATGACTGGAAACTGAGGAGAAAGCTTCAGATCTGTAGCTATTTTGACTACTGGCAGATCCTCTCTTCACCTGCCTCTCTCAGTTTCTGGACCGAGAACTTCGAGCACCTCACCATCAAAATGACATGCTTGTAAACAACATAGACACAACACATTTGGCCGCATTTCAACATGCATGTGTCATCCTGTGTCTACAGATGTTACTTTGACCTGACCACTGAATCTCGCTTCTTCAAGTAGATTCAAATAGCTTCAGCTTCTCCGGTGCCTGTAACCACGCTGCTCTGACGTCAGGGTCAGGGCACCTCAAACACAGCCACCGGAAAAATCAATGACTGTATAATTTCATCCATTCATCTAGGAACCGTTTCAAACATGCGAGGGCACTTCAAGGAAGAATCTCCTGCCCTTCTTGCGTCCTTGCATGTAGTAGCTTCTTCTCTCTTGCTTGCTCTACCATACCCTACCTCTGCTAGCTCTTCACAGCTTCCCGTCCCCCCCCCAAAAAAAGCACTGAATGCATCAATCTTCTTTGCCGCAGCAACATGCTGAGGTAATCTACCTCTCCAAACGCGTCCGCAACAAATCCCGAGGCAGTTCACCAGCACGAGCGTCCTATCTGGAGCAAAAAAAGAACCATGCCACTATGCACTATAGAGGCGTTTGTTTGCATTTTTCGATCACGTTGACTAGGCGTGCTCTGTGCTTGCTGCACGTCTTCTGGGTCGTTTCTGGGAAGTAACATGCAAAGTCCAGAAAGGCAGTATTTGTCCTGTAGTGCACGTGATGAGAGCGACACTGCCAAAGGTGCCCAATCTGCAGATGCCTGGCCATCAGCAAGCTGATTGAGTTGATACAGTACCCGTTTGATGCAGTTTGGCTCAGCCCCGAGATTGCGAACCCAATACAGTATAATTCTATATATCTTACAGTATGTTATAAAACATATGTATATAGATGTATGTTAGGAGTCTCCACCACTGTCAGCTTTTGCATATCTACTGGGCCAATAGATTCAGCCCATCTTGTAGCTTTATCCAGCATCAAGCACAGATTGTCCGCAAGCATTGTCCAGATAATTCCATAATATCCACCAGTCGTTGTTAAGCACCAAACGCAATGTGCCTGTTCCGCTGTCTCGCAAACATCCTGCAGCAAGGCCAAGAGCATCGAGAAGGCCTCATACTCACAATGCTCGAAAGGCAAAAAAACATTGTCCTTGTCAGCATTGGCGCTTAGAAGCTAGGATGACCAAGGTCAGCGCGACCTGAAGAGACAAATCATCTGAAACCTCGCAAAGGCAAGCAGTCCAAATCTCTTGACGTAGGAGCAACAGCAGTGCTACAAATGGCCACCCCTCTTATTTGGAGTGTTCAAGCTCATGCCTTCTGCACAGCTGTGGCAACTTTCGTTCTGTGGCAATTAGCCATTGCAAGCCTGGATTCAGCCAGCAGTCAGTAGATGTTTCTCTGTGGTCATTCAATAGTGTGGTGATTCGGAATCAATGATTATGTATTTTGGACATCTTCCGAAAACAAGACTTGTTTGTCTGAATGGTGGGAGAGTTCAGTAGATTCCCGGAGCAAGCCACGTGTTAAAGTATCTGAAGTCTAGCAATCATATACCCACATGCTGTTCTTCTTAGCTGCTGCAACCATGCTGGCTATACAAAGCCGCGGCGATATTGCAAAAGCTTTCCTGCGACAAGCATGCTGCCACGATGCTGAGAACTTTGGTGCAAGAATCAAACTTGAAATTGTGACCTATGTACACCTCTGTACATATGTAGACACACACACATGCATACACGACTTGAACGAATCGACCCAACAACCACCCTAATCTCTTCAATGTGAAGTCTAGACTCTACACAACTTTGAAATCTTTCTGAATTGTGAACCATTGGTGCATTGCTTGACACTTACTAGTGATGAACCACTTTGTGACTCTGTGGAGGCTGCGGACATCACTCTCGCGCAACTCCCTCATGCTTCGACAAAGTTTTGACATGCTCCAGGATGATCGAGCTGGCATCCTACTTTGGGACTTTGAGATTTAATTGTCTCTGCCTACTGTAGTAGTTCCACTTACTAGAACATCTGAAAACGATCTGTGCCCAACTACTAGAACAGAACATCAGCAACCCCTAAGTCAAGCTCTAGCAATTTTCATCCGAGAAATCATAATATTTTCCTATCAAAGCTGTGCACTAGGTATCTCAGGACGGACCATCAAATAACAAAAGAGCTGCGTGGCTGCATTTGATCTTCCTCGACGAAGCTTGAAAGATTTGCAATGCTTTACAATTTATAACCAACAACATCAACAACGCTAATTATGAGGGTGATTGACTTCCAGAATGGCAGGCCTTCTCGACCGTACAAAGTTGCTGTGCTAGTGACTTTGCCAGGCTTTCTTCAGGCAGCTGCCAACCTGCACGCCACTCCAATCGAAAAGAGAAGCCAAGTCCGTGAGGTCGACCCTTCTTTGTTGCTTTCACAGCCAAAACAGAATCACCTGGAATAAGATGCTACCATATGCTACAATTGTCTGATCGTTGAACAGTAATTACATAGCTTCCGTGCTCATCAGTTACGTGGCTCTTGATTATCACAAGCTGAACCAGCGAGCTTCTCAAGAGCTCCCTGGTTGGAATGCACTGATTGCACTGAGTTGAAATGTGTTTCTTCGATCGTCGAATGCCCGAATGAACGCGAATGCGTGTATCGCAGGATCCCGCCCATCCGACAAGACCCAACAAGACTCTCTCTCTTGTCACAAGGTCTCATGAGTTCCAGAAAAAGACCTTCATTGACTTGTATATCCTTGTACCTTTCAACGGCGCAGCCTGCAGCTGTTAGACCTCCCACATCAGTGCAGGCCCTCTTGATGCAAAGCAAGGAGAAACATTGAAACAACAAGACATGCGTCATCATGCGTCTATAATCATCGATAAGCAACAAGCCTAGCCAGTTCACTGCAAAATCATGACCAAGACGGCGCAAAAGCTGGGCATAGGCGGCTGCCTGTGAGTTCTATACAGTTCAGTTTGGGGCAAAGAACCAGTCTGAATTCTTGGAACAAGTATGACCCCAAACTGTGCTCACGACAGGCAAACGCGGAGCTGAATCTCCTGATGCCAGAATCTCAGAGAATCTGGCGCACAGTTTACCGGCTGCATCAGAGCCAGGACACCATGAAGTGTTCCTTGAGCCCGTGAAGCCCAAGATCGGCCAAGAAAAGCAGCCATCAGCACCTGATAGTGTGACTCGAAATTGGACTATATAGATCCCTCTGCCTGAGCATGTCTAAAGTCAACACCTAAAAAACGGAGTGCTCTGAGTGTGATTCCCCGCAAAAAAAATACTTACTTACTAACCACCAGAAACCTCAACACTGTCAAAGACATATCCCTGTAAGTCCTTCACAGCGTTTGCACCAACTCTGCCAATTGCTGGAAGATGTGCATGGAGGCTATCCTCTCATTCAAACAAAATGTTGTCTACGACGCTTGTGCATATTTTATAGCATGAAGCAAGGCTTTGGGTTTTGGCAAAAGTTCTGAAGGCATCTGGAGGCGTAAATTCCCAAAACGGTCCTCCAGTTGCGCGGATATCGAAGTGCCTAAGAGTCGAGGCCAAATGTCAAATTCCCATTGCAAATTTGTGTAGGGGAATTGTTACAGATTACATATATCATATATATATACATAATATACATATGCATAGGTCATAGGTGTGGCATCCAAACACTCTGGCCTTCAGTGGTGCTCCACACCGCAGCCTTGCCTTGGAATCGCGGTCTAGCCCGAAACGAGTCATGAATACATTTAGCTACTAGATAGAAACAAACTCAGGTGTTTGGGCGCCTTTATCCTACGCCTTATCTTCTGTGATGTGATTCCAGCATTTCCGGCGAGAACTTTTGTTGTTGCTGCCAGCGCCTCTTTGGGCTGTCTAAGTGAGACTCTGTATTGTGTACATTTCTATGACATCCTGATTTTATGCAATAGAAAAGGCCTGGAACGTTTGTCGCCCTATCTTCTCACTTGTTCACCTCCTCGCCGCCAGTGACCGAAGATAGAGCCATGCAGCATGTGAAGAAGTATCCAACTTAGCCAGCCAGTAATTGAAGCAAGTTGCACCCTCCTCCTTCCACGTCATGTTTTCGCGTTGCCGTTGTATTGGCCTCATCGAGATCTCTGAGATGGAGCCTGACGGCACTTGGCAGGAACACGTGCGTCGCGAATCTTGTCCATGCTCTTCAGAAACTTGATGCTCTTCAGGTGCGTGGAGCTGGCTTGAAAAGCAGCCGCGGCTGACCTGCCCAGGTGCGAGGGCGGACTTGACAACGCCTCGCTGCACTCTTAAGGGGCATCGTGCATGCTCTATGTAGTTAGAAGAGTTGTCAGACGTGACTTGGTGGTCAATCGAGCAACTTTTGGTGTTTTCCCCACCTCTGTGTCAGGTCAGGGTTGTAAGATTTTTACAGATAGCCTTCTTCTCCTTCTCCTCCTCCTCCTCCTTCTCCTCCGCCCCGAGCGTCAGATCACAGTGGGCACGTGCCAGATCGCAGTGGGCAGTGCCGGACCTCAACAGCAAGTGCCAGGTCGCAAGCACCAGAACGCAGTGGACAGTGCCGGGCCTCAACCGCAAGCGCGAGATCGGTTGAAGGCACTACCGGGGACTACCGGACCTCAACCGCAAGCGCCAGATCACAGTGGGCACTGACCTCCAAGCGCAAACGGCAGATCGCAGTGGGCACTACCGGACCTCAACACACAACACACAATCACAAACACACATAGCCACAAACAAAGCAAAGCAAAGCCACAAACATGACTACAACAACAAGAACAACAAGAAACACACAATACAGAATACACAAGGAACAAAGCATATATAACCACTCACAAACACAGAGCACACAATACACAACCAACAAAATAACACAAGCAGCCACAAACACGCAATCACAAACACAGCCACAAAGAACACAGTCACAGACACACAACCACAAGCACAATGACAAACACACAACCACAAACACGGCCACAAGCACAATCACAAACACACAGCCACAACTACAATACCACAAACACACTCACAAAAACACAGCCGCAGCACACAATCACAAGCACACAGCCACAAACACACAACCACAAGCAAAACCACAAACGCAGCCACAAACACACAACCACAAACACAGCCACAAACACA